TTATCCCCATCTCTAAGTCCCGGGTATCTATTCCTCGGTGTACAATCCTAGGGGGCGAAGGGGGTGGAGTAGTCTGTATCCCTCCCACTAGAACTTCATGACCAGGGTCTTGGGCTCCACAGACCTCCAGGTTGGGAAACACTGGTTCATCCTTAGGCTTGGTGCACAAATTCTGTGTTCCTCATATACCACTAGACAACGTTGATGCACTGATCTTGTGTCCCTTAAGAGATAGATAGGACCCTACATTCCTATCGGTTCAACCACATTTTCTCTAATTGTTGATAAAAATAGCAGCAGAATGTGATTATTCGCAACTACCTTTTAAGAGGTATGCAGGATCTGTCAGAAAAGCGATTTTTGAATGCATACATTAATAGGCTGAGAAAGAATATATTCCCAATTATTCCAGAAGTATTCTCGGCTCAGCTAAAGTGAAGCTTTCTACTTGTGAGTACCACCTTTGACTTTTCTTACCTCCATCTGTAAAATACAAAAACATAAATAACCTATAGCTATGCAAACGGACTTTAAAAATGTAAGGTAAAGGTTCCCTCCCCTTGACATTTAGTCCAGTCGTGTCCGACTCTAGGGCGCGGTGCTCATCCCTGCTTCCAAGCCGTAGAGCCAGCGTTCGTCCGAAGACAGTTTCCGTGGTCACGTGGCCGGTGCGACTAGACCTTCCCACCGTGGTGGTACCTATTTATCTTCTTGCATTTTCACATGCTTTCGAACTGCTCGGTTGGGAGGTTTAAAAAAGTAAACCAGCTGATAAAAATAAATATAAGACTTGAGTGGTTTACTTCTTTCTCATGGTTCCTATCCTGCCAGAGGTTGGATGCTATCGTGACCAGATGTGCTTCCATTGCAGCAGCTGTGTTGTGTTCCATCCACTTTCCCAAGTTCATAGCTTATTTAACAACTTCATATATTGGTTCTGGAACAAGTCTTTCCAAAAGTGCCTTCACAGGATCGCTGAAAGGTTTCCATCAACGTGGAAAGACCTGGTTCACTGCGTTCCCCCAAGAAACACTTCAGTATATAGCCTATCCCACCCAACGTGCTATAATTCAAGATGGACAGCTATGAAACGTCCAGAGATATCACCCGCCATATTTTCCACCGCCTGAGACCTCTAAAGAAACTGGCTGTTTTAATAGGGTAAGGAGCTCATGCACGGTGTTATGTCTGAGCACGTCGAAGAAGACTTGGTTTGCTCCCCGACTTTAGAAGAACACTCTGAGGGGGAGTCTGTCCCCTCACAACCAGCCCCCTTCAATTAGACCGATGGGGCAGATCAGAGGCCAAAACTGGGATGACTGGGAACCAACTACTTCGCAAATTTTCTCTAATATACACACACAAGGGTGTGCCTAGGAGAAAGGGGGGGGGGGGAGAAAGAGAGAAAGAGAGAGAGTCTCACCTACATGGGGTTAACCAGAGATTGTGGTCCACTGATCATAATGGATTTTTTTTTGGGGGGGGGAAGGGTGAAATGAGATTTATGTTTTAGAAAAAAAGGGGTCAGAAACCTTTGGGTAGTGGACTGCAACTCTCCTCATCCCCCACCTGTGTTCACTTTGGCTCAGGCTGATGGAAAGCCAATGTGTTCTCCACCTCATTGTCAGAATGGCCCTCCCTGATGGAAGTTGGTTTTCTTTGCTGTTTTAGCACCTGCCGAGAGAAAATCCTGGGGACGATGGGAGGTGGCTCTGCCTGGAAGCACTGGCCGGTACAGCATAAAGAGAAAGCTACTTTAAGTACGCTGTGATTTCCCGCCTAGTGCATGCAGGTATCCTTGGGCTTCAGACTTGTCTATCTGCAAAAGCCACCAAGCTTCCACACTTCTGGAAGGGCCCTCTTCCAAAGCTTCCCGCTTTCCCCAACTTCCTTCTCCCTTAGCCTGGTCTACCTTTCATTGTCACGAAATCTTAACAAAGACACTTTGTCATCTGTTACCCGAGATTACACATCACCCTTGGAAGAGGGTGAGTCCCATGGCTAGGCTTCCGAGAGCCGCTTTTTGGTGCCGCACTGGCATTGCTGGTAGGGTATGAACGTGGCACTTCTTGGAGTAAGCCACTCCTTGCGCCCAGAGTGGAATTGAGGGGCAAATCTTTGTGAGTGGCCGAATGCAAGGGGGGTCTAGCTTGGCTCCCGGTGCTGGCTTGCTGCTGGCCGGCGATGGCGTCCGTCAGCTTGTTTAAGCCATTCACGATGCCCTGCAACATATCGCAGTTGGCACGCATCGCCTCCAGGCACGGCCTCCTCTCCTCTCGGCTGTCTGCGGCGTCTCGCTCAAATGCCGTCAGAAACCTGGCCAGTACAACTCTGTCCCGCGCCATCTCCTCCTGCTCTTTTTGGGAGTCCTCTCGGGCCTGCTCCATGAAGAGCTGAAACATGCTCTCTGCCCTTTCCCTCTTCTTTTTGTTCCTAATCAAGGAGAGTCGAGTGGTGGGAGGCTCGGGTTCCTTTGAAGGGACAGCAGGAGGTTCTGCAGAATAAAAACACTTATTTAGAGAAACACAGGAGACTAAGGTCATTTTTGTTGGAGTTCTTTCAGTCTTATATATTCTCTTTAATCAGCTTCGCTGGGACTGTTCTGGCCTCATTTTTGTTGGAGTTCTTTCAGTCTTATACATTCTCTTTAATCGGCTTCGCAGGAAGGGACTGTTCTGGCCGGGGGGGTGACTGTCAATCAATCCAGGAGCAACCAATTGTTTCTTCCCTCCCTCTGATTTCAGGGAGAGCCCCGCCTCTCTGCTGAAGTGTCTTTTCCCCTCTCTTTTAATCTGTTATGCTATAATGCAGTTTTCAGGAGACTGCTGGAAGCCGGCTGTGAGTCTGCTGAGGTCTATTATTCTAAGCAGTCATTTTTGTCTAGTATACCGATTTTGATCTATTTAACGGTGAGTAAATGAAACCTTTTATTCTTTCTCTTACCAATGTCTCAGAGTGCGTTATTGAGCCAGTATGTGCCAGTTTACAAGGGTGATCTGCTCTGGGGAGACTTGAAGCTAATTCTCTGCACTTCTACTGCACAGCTACTCAAAATTCAAAACTCTGCAACACATTTTTCAAAATATTTTCAAAAAAAAAAATTTCCGATCTGCTCTGGGGAGACTTGAAGCTAATTTTCTGCACTTCTACTGCACAGCTACCCAAAATTCAAAACTCTGCAACAGATTTTTCAAAAAATTTTCAAATTTTCCTCTCCAAAAGGTTTTAAAAACTTTTCCAAACATTTTTCAAAATTTTTTCAATGTACATGCATTGACACAAATTCTGCTCCAAAAATATGCTACATTCTAAAAGTGTACAACTCTTACTAGAGACTGAACTTTCTAGAACTTCCAGGGCCCAGAATTCACCTTGAATCCGCCCCGCCCCCGGCAGCATTCTGGGAAACCAGAAAGCAAAAGAGATGCCTGCCTACCTCTATTTTCTGTTTTTCATAGGCTTTGGTTGGGAAGAAGGGGGGAATGCCCCCTCAGTTCCACTGCTTCCAGGGATTTGCCCCAGTGCTCCATGGGAAGGGTAGTCCAGTGAGTGGCTCTTCCTAGAAAGTCTAATGAGTAGCAAGATTACCCTTTGCAAGGAACAGTGAGGCAACTTCAAGGAAACTGTGAGACACAGGTGGTGTTCTCTTCTTCCCACCTAAAGTATCCGGGGAAGCTGAAAAAGGAGTTAGGAAGGTTTCCCTTTTGGCTTCTCTTTTTCTCCACCTAGTCCTAGAATTCTGCCTGGGAGACTCTAAGCAAATTCCAGGACTGGAAATCCTAAAAACAGAAAAGTCACAGCCCTAAACCTTAGTACAGTACAGTTTTCCTACTGTAGAAGAATGGTTTTTATATTTTTGGTGTCAGTCGGGGAAGCTGAAAAAGGAGTTAGGAAGGTTTCCCTTTTGGCTTCTCTTTTTCTCCACCTAGTCCTAGAATTCTGCCTGGGAGACTCTAAGCAAATTCCAGGACTGGAAATCCTAAAAACAGAAAAGTCACAGCCCTAAACCTTAGTACAGTACAGTTTTCCTACTGTAGAAGAATGGTTTTTATATTTTTGGTGTCAGTATTACAGGCAATTCCAGGACTGGAAATCCTAAAAACAGAGAAGTCACAGCCCTAAACCTTAGTACAGTTTTCCTACTGTAGAGGAATGATTTTTATATTTTCGGTGTCAGCATTACAGGCTAGCTGTGTGATGGAATAAGCTGAAACACAAAGCTATCTCTATCAAAGTGATGAGGAAGATGCTACCCTTAATTGAATTATTATTCCAGCCATAGAACTAACACCTGGAGTGGGGAAGAGCCAGGACTGCCCAGCAGAATTTGGGTACAGCATGCTACAAACAGGATATTACCTCTAGCATATACAGGCGTACGTCAGTTTACGAATGCCTTGGCTAACGTAATTTTTGGTTTACGAAAGGAAATCCGTTGAAAATAGTGCCTCGGTTTACGGTTTTTCCGGGTTTTTTTTCCAGTTTGTGAAGGACAATTTTTGGTTTACGAAAGGAAATCCATTGAAAATAATGCCTCAGTTTACGTTTTCCCCGGGTGTTTTTTTTTTTCAGTTTGCGAAGGAAGTTTCCCCACGATGCATTGTGCCTGGAGGTTTATAGCGCTGCTCCTGTTCCTATCTGTGTTCCAGTTTACGAATTTTTCGCAGTACGTAATGTCCCGGAAAACACGTTAGTTTCATAAACTGAGTGTAATCAACAATGTCACGATCAAGTGAAAAATAGGTTGTTCACCCACAACACCTACCGACAGTATCTGGGGGAACATGAGCTCCAGGGCTGAGTTGGGGTCTCTGCAAATCCAGATCTCTTCCTAAGACATAGATCAGGAAGGAAACAAAGCAGAGGACTTTGAACAGACAAAACTTAAAAGACACTAAAATGGGAGCAGGTAGCAGATAGCTCAGTGGTTTAGGGATCTAGCTGCAGAGCCAGAGGTTGAGAGCCCAATTCCCCCATGGTGTCTCCTCAGGGAAGAGCTAGCCTGGGTGGTCTTGGGCAAGCTGCACAGTTCCATCACCCCCCTCCCCCAAGAACAAGGGAATATGCCACTTCTGAGAACTCTCTAGATGCAAAACCCTGAAACAGTCGCCGTAAGTCAACACTGACTTGATGGTACATGATTATTATTAAAATGTAGCCAAACAGCTACATTTGCAAAAAAAGAGAAAGGTATTTAACGGTGCAGCTGATAAGCAAAGCATGCATCTGCACATATGGAAGAATCTACAGCAGCACATACGAGAATCAGGCCAGTGGGCACACAGAACACTGTGCTTTGTCAAGAAGCCACAGGGCCAAGCAAAATCCCAGTTCAATTGAACAGCCGGCGACCCAGCTCTTACCACTGCCTCCATTGCTCTCTTCCTCCTCAGTTTGTGTAAAATTCCCCACATTTAGCAGTTCTTCCTCGTTGCCATGAACAGCCACCGTTCCGTCTGCCACGTTGTCTGAAGAACAAAACAAACACATGACCACATGCCTGTAGCCACCCTTAGAATTGGCACTTTGGTGGCTTGCTTTCATGCCTACCATCATTTCCCACAACCCACCCTTACAACAAGGCCTTACAAATAGCAGAGAAGGGAAACAAAATGCAAGGGAGATAGGGAAAATTGAATGCAAACTTCCAAAGAATAGCAAGGAGAGACAAGCCGGCCTTCTTAAACGAACAGTGCAAAGAAAAATAGGAAAATAATAGAAAGGGAAAAACCAGAGATCTCTTCAGGAAAAATGGAGATATTAAAGGAACATTTTGTGCAAAAATGGACATGATAAAGGACAAAAATAGTAGGGACCTTACAGAAGCAGGAGACATCAAGAAGAGGAGACAATCCCAAATAATGGCAGTGCCAAAGAATGCTCCAACTACCGTACAATTGCACTCATTTCACACGCTACCAAGGTTATGCTCAAAAACCTACAAGGTAAGCTTCAGCAGTATGTGGACCGAGAACTCACAGAACTACAAGCTGGATTTTGAAGGGGCAAAGGAACTGGAGACCAATTTGTTAACATACGATGGATTACGGACAAAGCCAGAGAGTTCCAGAAAAACATCTACTTCTGCTTCATTGACTATGCAATGTCGACCACAGCAAACTATGGCAAGTTCTTAAAGAAATGGGAGTGCCTGACCACCTTATCTACCTCCTGAGAAATCTATATGTGGGACAGGAAGCAA